GATAAAGACAGTTAAGTAGGTAAAGCAAAAGCCATGCATGCAAGCAAAGCACAACAAAAATTCATTCACCACTTCCCATCAGCAAGCAGGTATTCAGCCATCTCCAGGAAAGCAGGGTTCCATCACGCGTAATGGCTACTTGGGAAGACAAACACTGTAACCCCAAAGGTTGCCCCACCCCTTCCTCCTCCATGGGTTGAGATAAAGACAGTTAAGTAGGTAAAGCAAAAGCCATGCATGCAAGCAAAGCACAACAAAAATTCATTCACCACTTCCCATCAGCAAGCAGGTATTCAGCCATCTCCAGGAAAGCAGGGTTCCATCACGCGTAATGGCTACTTGGGAAGACAAACACTGTAACCCCAAAGGTTGCCCCACCCCTTCCTCCTCCTTCACCCCAGCTTTATATACTGAGCATGACATCATATGATATGGAATATCCCTTTGGCCAGCCTGGGTCAGCTGTCCCAGCTGTGTCATCTCCCAGCTTCCTGTGCACCTCTGCCTTCTCGCTGGCAGGCCAGCATGAAAAACTGGACAGTCCTTGAATGCTTACCAACTGAAAACATCAGCATGTTATCAACATTTTCTCATCCCAGATCCAAAACACAGACTCACACTAGCTTCTATGAAGAGTATTAACTCTATCCCAGCTGAAACTAGGACATCACTCCATCATAGAAGGCCACTAGGTTGGTCAGGCAGGACTTGCCCTTGGTGAAGCCATGCCGGCTGTCTCCAATCACCTCCCTGTCCACCATGTGCTTTAGCATAGCCTCTAGGAGGATCTGTTCCGTGATCTTCCCAGACAGAGGTGAGGCTGACAGGTCAGTAGTACTCAGGGCCGCCCCTTGGTAACTTTTTAAAAAATGGATGCAATGTTTCCCTTTTTCCAGTCACCAGGGGCTTCACCTGACTACCGTGACTTTTCAACTATCACGGGGAGTGGCTTGGCAACTACCTCAGCCAATTCCCTCAGGACTTTGTATCTTGTAAGGTCCCATAGACTTGTGTATGTTCAGGTTCCTCAGGGGGTCTTGAACCTGATCTTCTCTTACAGTGGGAGGGACATTGCTTTAGTTTGACCAGCTGGTCTTGACTCAGCCATGCTGGCCTCTTGCCTTCCTTACCTGATTTCTTACACCTGGGTTTCAAGAGCTCTTGTGCTCTATGGAAAGCATCCTTAAAGATCTGCCAACTCTGTTCTGCTCCCTTGTCCCTGAGGGCAGTTTCCCAGGGGGTCCTGTTGACTAACTCCCTGAAGAGCTGGAATTTTGCTTTCCTAAAATTCAGGGTCCTGACTTTACTCTTCGCCTGCCCCATATCCCTCAGGACTGCGAACTCCACCAGTGCACAATCATTGCAGCCCAGGCTGCTTCCAATCTTGATGTCACCAATTAGCTCACTGGTGCTGGTGACCAACAGGTGCAGTATGTCATCCCTTCTGGTAGGGCTGTCTATTACCTGGCTTAAGTTATCCTCAGTGCACTCCAGGAGTCTCCTGGATTGCCTACAGCTTGCCGTGCTACTTTTCCAGCAAATGTTGGGGTGGTTGAATTTTCCCAGCAGAATGAGAGCTTGCAAGCATGATACCTTCTGTTTCTGGAGTAAGTAGGCTTTGTCAATAGGCTCCCCTTGATCAGATGGCCTGTATTAGACACCAACCACAAGGTTCCCTTTCTTTCCTCAGTCTCTGATTCTTACCCATAATCTTTCAGCCTGCTCATGGATATTCTTCAGAGACAGCTCTTCACACTGTCCATTTCTTCATGTAGAGGGCAATGCCTCTGCCTCTCTTTCCTCACCTGTCTGTTCTGAACAGCCTGTAGCCATTGGTAGCTGCACTCCAGTCATGGGATTTGTCCCACCAAATTTCAGTAATGGCGACTAGGTTGTGGCTTTCTAGCAGCACACTGGCTTCCAGCTCCTCCTGTTTGTTGCCCATGCTGCATGCATTGGTGTTGAGGCACTTCAGCTGGGCTGTTGACCATGTCACCTTCTTTGAGGAACACCCGTTAATTCCTTTGAGGTATTTCACTGGTGTTTCCCTGTTGGCTTTTGTTAACCTCAGGAGCCCCTGGCTCATCTCCGTAAGACTTCAAGCGTGCTCCAGTGTACCCAGCAGGTCTCGGAGCCACAGACTGAGGGCCCTTACTAGCACCCAGTCTCTCTAACCTTGGCATGTCATCCCACAGCTTGTCACAGGCAAGACTCATATCCCCCTGTATACAAGTTGTTTGAATTCTCAAACAACTTGATGTCCATAGAAGGTTGTTACTGTTCTTGAGTGATGACCTGAGATTTGTAAGGTTATTGAAAATAGAATTTTGATTTTTGGCTTTGCCTAAAAACTTTTGCAACAGCTTACGGGTTCCTCTAGCTTAATAGGGGCCTTGTAAATTCTCCCTACTAGAGCTGCTGGGCTTTATGACAGCATATATCTATATATGCAAATATAACTTTCATAGTTGTGTGTTGTATAAAACAATTTTGTTTCATTTTGTGCTGGAAAATACTCTTTATTATTGTCTGTCATTGGATTTGCACTAGCAGAATGGACATAAATCACGTTGTCTAAATCATCTATGTTTTCTGAGAAGTTGATGCCTTGTGATTTAAGGGCCTTGATATGAAGAGAAAACCTGCACTTAAGCTTATAACTAATACTGTATGTCCTTGAATTTATCATACCTAATACACATACACATGATAATCAATCTTGTGTATCTGTAATAAAACCTTCAAAAGGTGGTACTGAAGGCTGATCTTTTTATCTGGTGAGCAGTCATTCCGGTAGATGGTGCTCTGGAGTTTGCTTTTGTCTCTGAAGAACGTATCATGAACAGATATTCTGCTCTGTTTTTGTCTGTGCGGCCTAAAGAAAAGTGAGGAACTAGTTGTATTTTGTCCTTATACTATTAGATATCTTGTACATTCACTTGAACCAGAATCATTGAGCAGAGCCTCTTGTTGATACAAAAGAAAACAATTTGTTAATAGCTAGGTCAAATGAATCTAAGTGGTTTGTAGCTGTGGAAATTCAAAATCAGGGTGAAAAGGAACAGAAGAAATAACAGGCTTTCTTAGATTTTTGAACTGTAATGCTGACCCTGAGAAAAAAACATCAACAAATGTTTTTTTAAAAAGTGCAAAGGAGTCACAAGTGAGTTCCCTGTGCTACTGAAACAGTAAAAGAGCAGATGCATATAAATGTGAAGCTGAATCAAAAGCAAAAAAAAACCCCAAAAACCAAGCCCCAAACCAAAAATGAACTACTATAAGTTCCATGAAGCTACAGTATCATATTGTCAGTTCTCATTATCTGGAGCCAGAAAGTGTGATGAAATTTTTTATTTAATTATTATTATTTTTTTAATCTGTAGCATGCACTTGGTGCATAATTGTAATTTTTTTCACTGTTATAGCTACATGGACAATCACTATATTACTTCCAAAGTAATTTTTGAGGTTCTCTCAAAATACCATGACTAATGGAATTTTAGGAGGAATAGTAAGACTTGGAGTAAAAATGGCAACACTCTACCAGCTTAGCAGAGAGATTAACCAAGAGCTCGTTGTCAGGCTCCTTGAAGTACTCTTAAATTTCTACTAAGTAAATTGAGTGCCTCATGAAGAGATCCATGGCTATTAGAGAGCTTCTTTTTCCAGAATGGTATTTGAGAAACAGTACTTCGTGACATGCAAGAGGTGATGTGCTGTCATGAATGCTTGCATTTATACTTTTTGGTTTTTGTATTTTTAATTTTTTTTTTAAATGATTTTTAATTGGGTTATGGAAGAGATTGGTTCTCTCATGTTCATTATGTACAACCCATGTGTTCTTTCATCTTGTTTTAAGGATTTCTGCCTGTGTGCAGCCTGGGCCCATCTCAAGTGGGAAGAATGAATTTTGGAAAAGATGTCAGCACTCTGAAATATTTCACTATCTGTGGCTTACAGGAGGGGTATGAACCCTTTGCTGTTAATACAAACAGAGACATCACCATTTGGCTGAGTAAAAGGCTGCCTCAGTTTCTACGAGTGCCACAAAATCATGAACATATTGAGGTTTGTAATCCTGTTAAAATGTTTCTATACACTTCTTCAATTAATACGTTTGAATTATGTTTCTACTTCTGTACCTCTAGATGAGATTTTTAATGTGATATGCTTGAGCCAATTCTGGGCAAAACTTATACCTGTTACAAATTTCTTACATTCAGTGGAGTTGCAAATAATGTAATTATTTGGTTCTAGTATTTCTTTATCTGTGAAATCAGTCGTGTGTAAACATGAGATTCTCAGAGACAAATTCTACAAGATGTCCTCATTAGGAACTCCTTGTGCAGTGAGAACTATGTTTGTAAACAACTTCCAGAAATTGGGCATTTCTACATAACAGATACCTTGTGTTCTGGTGCACATACTTTGTGGAGTGTTTTTTCCATAACTAATTGGTTTTAATTTTAATAAATATTTATTAGCCGATTGTGTCAACACTTATGTCCCAATCAGTTGTGCATCTTAATGGAACTGAATTACTGCCTTGTTAATTAATGCCAAATAAATAAATAAATTAATTAATGCCAAAGAAATCCTTTGGAAATTGATGAAACAAGAACTCTTTTTCAGCTGATGTATATCACACTGTGGTATTTAAGAAATAATTTATGTTCTTGCATATTTACATGTATGATTTATATTAGCTGGTTTGTGTTGTTCTGGACAGGGTTGGATTTATGTTGCAAAGAGTTATGATCAGAAAGGTCATTCCTTTGTGAGTGTTTTTTTTTATTTAACAATGGACAAACAAAAACTTCCACTCTTTATAATATCGATATCTTCTTAAAATGGCAGTACATGATTATAAAACATTTGACCATTTACAGAATACTGTTGCAAGTTTTGCAAGTCATGGATGCTTATTCTAGAAATAGAAGTTGAATATTTACAAGGGGGAAAAAAATCAGAACACCAACATCTTTACATTTTGATAGGTGATGAGAATTGATGGCACCATAGACAGCTGCCCCTGCCTGAAGGTCACACAGAAGTCCTTTGGCTCGCAGAACAGTAAAACAGACGTCATGTTTTTTCGATTAAGCATGCCCATCGAATGTGCTGAGGTGTTCTCCAGATCAGCTGCAGGAGGGTTACCAGGCTCTGGTCTTTTTGGCCCGAAGAATGACTTGGAGGATTATGATGCTGATTCTGATTTTGAGGTTCTAATGAAAACTGCTCATGGTCATCTAGTTCCCGACCGGACCGAAAGAGAAAAAGATGCCACAAAACCAGAGTTAAACAACCATAAAGATTATGTTCAAGAAAAGCCTTCACGTCTTAAACAAAGGTTAGTAGCGCATT